CAACATCCCCAGCACCACTTTGGAAGGCAGTAGGAAAGAAATCACACAGAGAAGACAAGGAATGGGAGGGGAAGGCCTCAGTTTAAACAAGGGGAACATACCAGAATCCAGCCAGGTAATTCTAGGAGATTAACAGCACCCAAAGATGAAGAACTGAAAAGGGGCCCCTCTTCACACTTAATCTGGGTCTACATCTCACTCAAATATTCATAAAGACAAAGCAGAACAGAGCAAAATTGTCTTTTAATGCCCCAACACATAACAAAATTTAGGCCAATTTTTATGCTTCTTACTGACAACTTGCATCTTTTAGAGGGACTGGGACAGGGAACTGCTGTTTTATGTTTTGCCTTTAAAAATCAATCTTTTTTCCTTCTTAAACACTTCACAAAATGAGTGGGATAAATGATATTGCAGCCTGGAGCTACTCGCGCTACTCCTGACTGCCACGCACTGACAGCATCATACCCACAGGAGAGCTGGGGACAAACCAACCCTCCTGCTGTGCAGGCCCTGAGCAGGCTTGGGGTCAAATCCCTGATGGAGAATCCAAGCTAGGCTGTCCCAGCTCCGGCAGACACGCAGCAGGGAGCACCCCCATCCCTGCTGCTCCCAGCTCACCCACAAGGCTCCTTTAGCTGTGGCACCTGAAACTATCCCAGATAACCCCAGCCAAGGGCATCTGGCCAGGCTTTACCAGTTTTGCTTCCTCTGCAATCTATGTTAGGAAAAAACTTACAGAGACTCCTTCACAAGCACATTCCCCCCGTGTTGCCCCTTCCCTGGAATATTATTATATAAAAGAAAAAAAGGCAAACCAAAAGCAGATGACCTCGAAAAGGATCTTCTCAGCAGGCTTTGCTGACAACAGGCACAGAAGGACTGAGCTGCTCTTTGCAATGTTTCTAACTCCCAAGGCACGACAGGAACATCCAATTCCAGTGGCAAAGCCCAGCTGCTGCTGGAGGCAGCCCATCAGCTGGGCTGCAGTGGTGCAGAGGCATTCCCACAGGACACAATTCCTGACAGGAATTCCTGGCAGCTGATCCCTGCGCAGGCGGAAGTGATTCTGCCTCAAATACTTCCTTTACCACTGATAACACAATTCCTGCCATGCCCTGCCAAGGCTGCACTGATAAGGAGAGGATCTGTAAGCCAGTCCTGCTCCCACAGGGATTTATTTTTAGACGTCAGATACAGCAAGGCAAATACAGAGACCGTGCTGTTTGAAGGGATAATTCTGTGTCAAATGCAAGATGCTGAAGTGATATGAATGTGCATTACAGCAACTGCCTTGAGCAAATGGCTTTCGAGGGAGCAAAGAATATTATCTGGGAAGCATGAGCTGATCAGCTCTCCATATTCCATTACCAAAACCTACTGAGCTGAAGATAATGTCTTAATTCTTTCAAGTGAAGAAGAGAGTATTAATTCCTGGCAGGAAGTAGATATTTAAGGAATTCCTAATCACTCTTTCTCCTGTTTGTATTAATGGCATTTAGCACTAAGTAAAGTAAAACCATATTTCATAGAATCACAGAATATCTTGGGTTGGGAGAGACCACAGGGATCATCCAGTCCAACCCCTGGCCCTGCACAGACACCCCAACAATCCCACCCTGTGCATCCCTGGGAGCATTGTCCAAATGCTCCTACAGACTTGGCAGACTTTCTGTAGCATGCAGTTATTGAATTAAATTATTATCTTCTTAAATTATAAAAGAAATTTAACTCTGTCTCAATAAGTTCTTATTGCAAGCAGAAGGATATGATATGGGACTCCATATCCATTTTTCTCTCTCACATTTTTAAACTGAGGGAATTTGAAGTTGCCTCAATAGGCCCCACAGAGTTTTGATGAGTTCTTTTCAGTTATTTATTCATAAATCTGATAGTAACCCAACAGATATAAAACAAAGCTTGTACTTGCTAGATGCAAAGTGCTGACGTTGCACAGTGAGCATTTTTATCATTTCACAGGTGTAATTACAGACTCTTCTGCACAAATGCAATTTGACCACTTGGAAATGACCTTCTATTTGTACAAAGATTTTTATGTAGACTTACCATCAATGTGTCCAATGAATGAGAACCAGATCAAAAAAGTTAAAGGGGAGATACCTTGTGTTTTATGTAAATTGAGAAGAAGCTAAATTAGGAAAAAGGTAAATTAAAGAAGAAACATTGCATCTCCTTGGGAGACGGACCATGAAAAAGCTGAACCACAGTTCTGAATATTTATCCCATGTCAGACTAAAACACATCTATGAGCCAGAACCTGGCTTTTCATTAAAAGTTAAAAATTAATGATGCAGCCCTTAAAATAAATACAGCAATGAACATAAGGTATTTCATCAAAATACCAGTGAATTTTGGGCACTGATGCAATCTGTGAGGCTTAACCTGTCGGTACAGCTTTGACATCACTGCCTTTGCCTGGCAACCAGCAATTTCCTGGGATGCCACACGTGCCTGGCTGGCCAGCCACAGGTATGGGTGAGATATTGCTTTTGGAAGCAGTGTGGAAGGACGTTTCTGAAGGAAAAGCCCCCCAAAATGCACCTAGCCTCACTGGCACGGTGCAAGGAGTAGAAGAGAACAAATCCCTTTTCATACCTCTCAGCAATTTAATTTAAAACTACCTCATCAGGTGAAATGTCAGGCTATTAATACCTCCTGCACCATAAGACCATATTATAAATGACATAAACGTTACAAAACAACCTGAAATTTGGCCAGGCTGTTAATAGACAGCATTACACAATTCCTGACACGGACAGATAATGCTGTATTTTCTACTATGCAAATTTCTAACAGTGAATAGATTTTGAAAGCAGTTTACACCCACCACCCCTCAGATGCAACTCAGTAATTCTCTATTAGGTGCCAAGCTGTCACTTCCCATCACTCCAGCCCACTGCTATTCTCTGCCCTACCTTGGGAGCACAAAGGAGCCTTCAGCTTGATTAAAATGCATGAGGCCTGTGTGAACCTATTTTTAAATCTCCCAACTAATATACTGCTGTTGTATTAACAGCTTTCATTTATTTTACCATTAATACTGGTATTCTAAGGAAGTGCTGCAATGCTTGATCTTTTTGCATTTCAGCAGCAAAGCTCTTGTTCTGCAAGAGATTTTTCACCATATAAAAATGTCCTGACACTGTGGGGATTTATCAGAAACCTTGCTTAGGAAAAGGAAGCAATTACAGGCACAGAGGGCCTGAGTCACCTTATTTAGGCACAAATTTTGCTTTAGGTACACAAATAGCTAAACACACAGGGTTTTTCAGAGGCAGATGTGGAAACAGAGAACTGACCCCTCAACACACACAGAGTCTCAGTTTTATGACAGTTCTTCTCATGCTGCCATCAGCCCCTGTTTTCTTCCTGGTTTCACAGCACAGACACAGAAAACAGCTCAATAACCAATACAATTTTTATTTCCTTCCACAATCTCTGTTTTCAGGCAGACCTCCTCTGGTTACAGCCTCTGGTCTGGTTTGCCAGGGGACCACTGAACCGAGAGTAAGGGAAGCTACAGAAGCAGCAGTGACATCACAAAAATCAGTGCTAAACCACTCCTGCTTGTGGGAGCTTCCCAGCAGGATGTGCTTCAGGAAAACTTGGAAAGGATGTATCACCTGGTTTTACTTCTGCCTCTTGCAAACATAAAGATGAGCCCCACAGGGCTGCCCTGCCATCCTGAAAACATCCCAGGAAATGCTTCAACCCACAAAGAATTAATTATTGGTCATCAAAACAATGTGCCACGCACAGCTTGTGCTCCCTCTCCAGCTGCAAGTTGTGCTGAACACCACTGGATGAGGGGAGGGAGAACTCAAGGACCACAGGATGCAAAAACCACACCTGTGTGGACACAGACCTGCTCCAACATAAAACTTCTCTCCAGAATTACTGAAAAATTAGTTGTGTCAAATCAGCAAATTACCAGGAGACAGAAAGCAGGGACATGGATCAGCCACACTGTTCCTATACACAGAAAATGAAAATAAACAGTTTTCAGCAGTGAGTTCTGCTCCTGCTTGCCCGTTTCCCAGGGCCTCCATGAGAACTGAGCTCTTTGCCCTCTATTTCACACCCAATACTTTGTGTGCCTGGGTCTGCAGAGCCCACACCCCAGAACCAACCCTCCCAGAGCCACCAAGTGTGAGCAACAGCACATCCCAGCCGTGAACAGGACCCAAGCTCCTTCCCAGCTGGAATTTTACTAAGACAGAGAAAAAAACCCAGCTGCATAATTCTGCTTGCAAAAGTGTCAAGTACGGCAGCATGGAAGGCTGTAAATAATTCACTCGGTATTACAGGAAATGTTTTACAAAAGGAAAGGTTGTAACCTCCTTTTGGCTACAAGGCTGGCAGATGCTGGAGGCATTCCTGCTCCTCTAAGTGCAGAACAAAATGTGTTCTGTTTGTGAGAAACTCCTGGGTCTCAGCCCTCCCTGGAAAATGCTTCTGCCTGTATTCCTGAGGGAGGGATCACAGAGGAGCAAAGTCTGCACACTTCCAGAAATGCAGCTCAGGCTGACAAGCAGTTTCTGGTATTTTGATGACACAGCTGCTGCAATGCACAATGCACAGCTAAGGGAAGGGGTAAATTTGATTTATTTATATTTACATAAATACATTCACACAATTTTTTAATCACACACACACTCAAACCAAAAATATACACGCAGTGATTACAGATGACTCAAGACTGAATGTTTGATACAGTTTTAAAACAGCGACATCAGCCAAATCTAGTCGAAATAAAACCATCTCCAAGCTCAAAGGAGAGCTCCACATGACTGAGTGCAGATTCTGCCCCAGCACACAGAAGCAATGCCAAACAAAGTCTCTACAGCTTTAACTTCTTACCACTAAACATTTAGCAACAAACTAAATAAGCCTCAGTGGAGGTCCCTCTATGCCTCCCCACCAGGTCAACTAGCAGGAAGCACAAGGTGTTTTATGTGTAAGAGAAATCCAAGACTCACCTGGATGTTGCCAAAGTCCACGTTTTCATAGTGGAAATGTGCACACTCGGCCATCTTCGGGAAGTGCCCCTTTGTAAAGGATAACCTGGAGCACACCAAGAGCACACCATGAGATGGATGCAGACTACTCAACACAGACAAACAACAGGTAAGGATACAAAACAACAACAACTTTCTCATCCTAAAGCCAAGGGAACACAGGGATTTGTTGATGTGATGCACCAAAATAGTGGGGAAGCGAGCCAAGTGAGAAAGGAAAGCTGATATGCCAAGTGGCTTTTCCACTGCATCCCTAGAGAGCTGGGTGACATTCCAGCAGCACCACATCCCAGCGCATCCCTGCAGAGCTGGGTGACATTCCAGCAGCACCACACCCTGCAGGATGGACACGCGCAGGGACAAGCAGCTGCACCTCACAAATGCACATCCACAGCCTTACACGAGACACGAGGAAAGCAGAACTTTACCTGTGAAAGGCATCACAGCCCATCAGTCCCGGGGGGATGTATCTGAGGGTGCAGAACAAACTCTATTTATCCTTTGCCTTTTACAAATCAAAAGTCAGGCATAATTATTCCCAAGTGTCTCCAGCCACACTGGTGGCTGCCGAGGAGCTCCTCTGGCTCTGCAACATGCTCCTGCTTCTGCTGAAGCTATTACAGAGTCCTATAGATATTCCTGGTGGTGAGCCAATGAGATTGTCATTATCTAGCTCCCTCTTCCCACGGGAATACAAGTGGGAAGTGAGATGCAGCATCTGGCTGCTCAGCACTGGAACAAAGAGCCATTTCCCTCTCAGCAGAGCACTAGAGGGGTGAACTGAAGGCTCAGATCCATCAATCTCAGGGAGTTCTACTCCTCAAGTCAGCATTTTTAGCAGAAGTAATATTGATTATTTCTGATCCCTGTTGCTGCACACATAATGACTTGGTTTACAGTCTCTGGGAGATAGGCAGAGACAGAAATACAACATGAGCCCACAGGAAAAAAAAAAAAAACAAAAACAAACTGGGAGATCAGGGAAGGAAAAATATCCCTTAAAAGGGAAAACTGTAAAATCCATTCAAATGAAGTTACAGAGGGCAGAATGCAAAAAGAAACGAGAAAAAAATATCAGATCAAAAATACATATAGGCCACCCACTTGTCCTGGTTTAGCTTTCCAGAGCATAAGGAGACAGGGAAAATTATCTCATTTACCCACTGCCTGGGCTTCTTTTGAGATTTCTGTTCTATTAAAATAATTGCTCTATTATAATGTTCTATTGTGGGGTTTTTTATCAATTAATCACTTTCAGGAAGAATTGCTAAAGAAAATTAAAAACACTGCAACAGTGAGGTTCAAACCCTACCTAGCTTTGCTTCTATGGTCAGAAAGATAAGAGTGAGCCAGCAAAACCTCTCATGTCCAGTTTTAGGTTCCATTAGCTCAAATTGCCTTAGTTCCACATGGACTTTGGTTGCTCTGCTGAAGATACACCATCACAAATTGTTGCTGAATGCCCTGCACTGCAGCACAACAGCCAAAACTCAGCACAGCAAAACTGGAAGCCCAGGAAAGACGGGAAAATCACACAAGTCTGCTCTTACTTTTTCACATTCTTCACTTTCATGCTGGCTGTGCTGCCGCAGGAGCGGAGCGGCAGCTCCCCCGGGATGTCCGGGATGTCGGCACCTCGGGCCTGCAGGGAAGAGACAGAAAAGCAAGGAGTTAAACACGGCTGCAAGCTCTGGGCTCTGCCTGCTGACAGGAGCCCCTCTGTTCTGCATGGGGCTACAAACCTCAGACATGCTTAAGATGAATTCTGCCTTTTGATCAGGGAAAACTGACCCTTGGGATGGGGACCAGGGAGGTGACAATCTCTTCCTGCCCCAAGCCTTGCTAACCCTTGGGGTTAAATCCAGTATTTAATTCATTGCTACTTCTGCTTTCTGAAGTGGAGATTTTCAGAGGTGGAAGTGAAACAGATATTCCCAAACCCCGTAACTGGACTCCTCAGTAAGTACCTGATTTTCCAGACATCTGTGCGTTTACACTCCGGCAGAGGCAGTGCAAAAAGCTGGATTGCTCACACAATGGAAAACAAGTTAATGACAGAGCTGCTTATATGTGGGAGGTGAACTTCTAAAATAGATGTTTGAAGCTATTGGTTTAAGTGCTTGAGGATATTAAAATTCTTTAATTACTAAAATTCATTAACTTCAGTGAGGCCTGAACTCCAAACTCCCTCCTTTCTGTTCTGTCATACTTTCCCATCCCCTCCTTCCTCCAGCTGCCTTTGCCTAAGCCATGAGCTCTGCTGGGGTTGAATTCTCCATCACAAGAGACACCCTCGACTCCATGGGTTTCTCCCACTGTGACCCAGAGCAATGAGGGGGTTCAGAGAGGCTTTTATGGAGAGCAGTCATCAAACAGCAAGACCATCACAGACTTCACAGAAAAGGAGGAGAAAAACAATTGATGCTGGCCAGAGATTGCCTGTCAGTGATGTGGGCCACAGCAGCTGAGTGAGCTTTTTCTGCTTTATACAATGCACTAAAAACATGAACAATGTCCCAAAGAGGGAATGCTGAACCAAGAGGAAGAAAGGCACTTCAGTGTTACTTCTCTTACAGGTCTGGAACCGAAAAGTATTCCATCAAATCCCTTCTCTAATGACAGGAGCAAACACATGATTGCCCTGATATTACATCAGTCCCAATGGTTCTAAGCTGGTCCAGCAGATCCCGGAACAGAGATGGATCTGTCCCAAAGCTGTAACTGATAACAGAACACAGCTGCATTCTGCAGTGTGAAATATGGAGAAATATGGAAATATGGTCTCCACCCCCAAAACTTTACAGTTGGACCACCACAACTCAAGCTAGCAGCCCATGTGTTGGAGGAACTACAGGACAATCCCTGTCACTCCTCCCTGAAGCTCCCATTTGACCCTGACACAGGTTACCTGTACCTGAGCTTCACCACATCACCGAGAGCTGTGGTGAGGCAGTCAGTGCCATTCTCCTGCTTGTTTTCATCAACCAGACCAGTGCCAGAGAGAGGGAGGAATTCATCCCACTGAACCAAGACAGGCACAGGGGTGAAGCTACAACCACGTTATCCATGTGAGGCTCCTGCTACAGTCTCCAGGGACACTCTGGTACTTGGGGTCCATTCCCCTGCTTTAGACAACAGGAGGAGAGTCCTGGGGTTCAGGGTGGAAGGAACCTTACAGATCATCCAGTCCCACCCCTCCCCTCGGAATGGACACCTTCCACTATTCCAGGTTGCTCCAAGCCCCATCCAGCCTGGCCTTGGACACTGTCAGGGATCCAAGGGCAGCACAGCTTCTCTGGGCACCCTGTGCCAGGGCCTGCCCACCCTCACAGGGAAGAATTTCTTCCTAACATCCCATCTAATTACTCTCTGTCAGTTTGAATCCATTCCCCCTGCCCTGTCACTCCACATCCTTGCCCACAGTCTCTCTCCATCTTCCTTCTCAGGCCCTTGAAGCTCTGGAAGGCCACAATGAGGTCACTCTGAAGTTTCTCTTCTCCAGGCTGAACAATCCCAGTTCTCTCAGCCTCTCCTCACAGCAGAGCTGCTCCATCCCTCTGCTCATCCTGATGCCTCCTTTGGACAAAGCCAAGCAGGCTGCAGGAGCACCCACTCCCCTGGACACAGGGCTCCAGGTTGAGCCTGGGCTCTGAGGAGATGAACCCCAACAGCGGCAGTAACCCAGCAGCAGCTGCACCCATCCAGCTCCTGGTGCTTCCAGCACTGCCCTTGGAAGATCTACTCTGAGTGAGCTCTACCCTCTGAGCACCACAGAAGAAATCTGAACCCAGGTCTCTCTCTCTCTGCCAGCTGCACCTTCCACAGCCCAGACCACAGCCAGTGCTCTGACCCCACTGTCCCACAGCTCTGCACAGGCACAGCCACTCACCAGAGCAAAACGGGAACAGTATTTATACACTTAAATAAACCTACCCTGGGCTGACTGACTTACTGAGCACAGAATCACTTCAGGGTGTAATAGGACACTTCAGCGTCTCATTGTCAATTTTAGCATTAAGAGGATCACCAATTTAATAAGCCTTACAGGTCTTTTACATAAGAAAACAACTAATTACAAGAATAACTGTGCCATTCCAATAAGCTGCTTTTAGGCCAAGCTAGATGCGCTTACTTAACTTCCTAGGGAACAGAATTTCTGTAGGAAGAAAAAGTAATTTTTCTTCTCCATCAGCAGCAGGAGCTGGTGGGATATAAAAATGGATAAACAATCTGACAGAAAATGTGGGCTTCAAGCCAGTTTGCAGCAGTGGGCAGAGACCTCCCTGGATCTGACTCAAAGTGGCGTAGGCAAAACTCACACCTCCAGGAGCCCACAATGCCAGCACCTCTCTTGGAAAAGTTGTATTATCCTCTCCTTCCCAGTGGAGTTAAGTCCAAATTGAGCTGGATTTCTGTGTCTCCCATTTTCTGCAACCAGTTAACTGGACCACAATGAGATGCAAGGCAGTAATTAACTCCAGGAGCTTTTCCAATTAGATCTGAGCTCCATGGACTGCTGCAGAACAACAATCTCTCCAATGTTCACAGTGGAGACAAAAGCACAGAAAGGTAAGGGCAGAGAACTTGTGCAAGCTCAGATCTTTATTAAGAGGTACCAATAAGAGAAAAAACCTTGGTGAAGAGACAGAAACCAAAAGAGAAACTTACTGCAATTTTAGAAACCGCATTACTCCTAAATAACCACAACTCCTTTTCATTCAAACCAAAGATACACAGCTACATAAGGTAGATTTTATACACTATTTTGCACCTGTTTTGATGCAAAACTTGGCATGTAGCATGCAGGTCACTCTCCCCTCAAAACACAAACAAAACCCTCCAAATGAAATTTGTCATCTTTTGTGCTTGGTGTCACAGTAATTTAATTTTAAAAATCATTTTGAAACAGTTGGATTATTTACATCTGAAAATTAGCTACCTGGCATCATCAGTGCCTTCTCACTTCCCTATTTTCCATGCATCGCTGTGCTGTGGAAACCTGGTAATTGCAGAGCAAATCTGTTTATGCAAATTGTTTAGTCCCATTTTCACAGCTGAACGTCACTGCTGTATCAATCTGCTCCAGTCCAAAACTTGGTAAACAAATTAGAGCTCAAGGCAGAACTCAGAGAATTGATTTATCAGGAATCTCAGTCGCTTACCTTTGCAGGGAAGGCTTTGGAGCGACACCACTTCAGCAGCTTGCCCTAAACCAAGAAATTCTTCCAAAAGCTTGACTTGTATCAGTAGTAGTTGAGACAATATTGCAGAGAGTCAGTACTTTGTCACAGATACCTGCAGGGACTGCCAGGCAGGGAGATCTCACTAAACCCTTCCTCTAGGGAGGAGGAAGAACGCCTGCCTGCCTGTCCAACCCTCCCATGGATCACAGCATCACAGGATTGCTAAGGGTGGGAAAGGCCTTTAACATCAAGACCATCACTCGCTGCCACCCCTGTGCTCAGCACTAAACCGTGTCCTGAGGCTCCACACCCGCACGTTTTCTGAACACTTCCAGGGACAGTGACTCCAGCCCTGCCCTGGGCAGCTGGACAGCCCTTCCCAGGAAGAAATTTTCCCTGATATCCAATCTAATCCTCCCCTAGAGCAACTTGAGGCTGTTCCCTCTTCTCCTGTCCCTGTTCCCTGGAGCACAGCCCGACCCCCCCCAGCTGTCCCCTCCTGTCAGGAGCTGTGCAGAGCCACAGGGTCCCCCCTGAGCCTCCTTTTCTCCAGGCTGAGCCCCCTCCCAGCTCCCTCAGCCCCTCCTGGGGCTTCAGCCCCTTCCCCAGCTCTGTTCCCTTCCCTGGACATATTCAAGTGCTGCTCCTAATCTCCCTGGGAATCCGAGAGTGGAATCTGAGAGCTCTCACAAATCAGACTGTTTAGCTTTAAGCATTTGAAATTTCTAGCCTTTTTATTTATAGACATGATTTAGAAAACTTCAGCTTTGTGCTCTCTAGCACACAAAATCTTAGTCATAAATAATTTATATCTAACGATTCCACAGAATAATATGAAAGGATTTTCTCCTAAAATGTCCCCTTGCATTTATCAGAAAACATGTCAATCTGTCTCTCTCACATGCAGAGATGTACCACAACCTGAAATATGTGTAAAACTCATCACAACAGTCCAGTGAACACAATGTCATGAAGTTTCCACCTTGGTATCCTCGACAGGAAGAACAGTGAACCAGTGAAGAACCCACAGCCCTCCTCCTGCTGCTTTTGACTTACTCTGGGATGCACAAGAAACCCTGGAATCCCACAAGTAATCCCACAGTTGGTTTCCCACAGGACTACAGGAAGACCCCTGGGGAGGCACCACAGATACACCTTGGCAGGTGACTGAATCCAGGTGAGATTTCTGAAGGCAGGAATTTAATCCAAGGCTATCACAAAGCAAGAATAACTATTAGAGAGGCAGTAACATATATATTAATTTTCCACTGTCAGTCTCTCAACAAAACCAGTTTGGAGGGACCAGATTGCTCTGGATTCTGTCAGCACATGGCCTTGTTTCTAAAAACAGCAGAGCTGATTCCAAATGCTGTTTGGTTTCCATGACAGTCTTTCCTTTACATCATCTTCATTTCCCCTCGATCTTCTTGGAAGGAAAAATTACAAAGAGAGAGAAAAA